CTGTAAGAGTGGGTTGTTTGGGGATTGCGTGGGAGCAGTAAACTAAAGTAGCCATCTTTAAAATCTTATTGTGCACATAAGGCATATTTGTTTTAAAGGTTGTATAAGTACACAGGATAACATACATCCCCAATGACCATTTCCATACCATATTTGTAAACGCAAGGAGCTCAGCATAGTTTCTTGCTTCCCTTCTATTCTTTTCCMCAATGAGTCCAAGAATAAATTCCTTTAAATATGAAATTTCGTTCCYTWGCCTCTCATACCGAGAGTCCATTTCAATCACTTTCCCAATGCTTCCACTCGGAGCCTGCATATGGCATTCATAAGTTGGTCTTCAGATTCCATCGCTGCAACCCCTCTCAGTGGTAACATTGGCTGGGAGAATGGCACTATTGCCAACCAAGAGAGGGTTCTTAGAATAGATTGTAACATTAGATATAAGTATCATTAGCTTGAATAATTCCTTAGTTACAGTTCTTTACTGTAAGTACTGTTGGACCTTCGTGGCAGTGAAAACGTTCCTCTTAGTTTCTGTTGTGTTCTGCTTATTACTACATGCTTGCTTCACGCTCTGAACTGACTAACTACTATTACTCTGTTATATTGCTTGATATACGTTTTACAAAATTAGACGGAACSCAAATGATAATTTGATACTAACTAAAACAATAACCAATTATGGCATAACTCCATACTGAGGGGAATTCCCCGTTTATGAAGACCTTGGCTTATTCTACAAATATCGATCATGTGAAAATTTTTAAAATGCGTCATAAACTTAAACTAAAGTAATTACTTATATAAAAATACAATAATAATGATATTTGAACATTTCACATTCATTCTGTAAATTCAACATTGATCTTAACCCTACAGCATAACAATTGCTGGACTTTATTCAAAACTATTTTTTCCTGGTAATCTAAAACTACAGGTACATGACTTGGCATATTTCGATTTCTAGACCAAACTATCAAATTGCTGACGAATCACTGAAAACTGAAATCTTCTATTAACTTATTAACATTGCATTAACTAAATGTCAGGGATACATAGACTAACATACTCCCCCGCCTAGTTTGATGTATCTCCTGGTACATCGATAAAATAAAATACTATTAAAATATATTACATTATTAAAATATACTACATAAATCAACTAACTGTTCTTTATTCAATGTTTTTTTTTTGTTTGTTCCTTGCATATTGTTGCTTTCGAATACTACACAAACGGTGTACATTTCACCGGTTGTGGTCGAATTCCCATTGGGATTAAGAAGGTGGCGATTGTTTGTAAGTAAATTGGCAGGTAATCATTTGKGGGCGTTTCCTCGCCGTGGCGGACATCGTTAATTGGTCAGACCCTTGCTCCGCAGCTTGGGCATGCTAAGACGAAATTTGGTGTGACATGCACTCCTCATGTACTATCCTCCTGCAACAGGGCATCGTGATTTCCATAAAACGTGAGTTTCACTGCTTACACCATACCCTACACCTACTGCGGTATGGTCTACTGGCCATTTCTGTAAACATATAAAGACATCCTTGCCACTTGCAAGGTCGCCAAAATTGTGAACGTCGGGCGATCATTACATATTATACGAATGTGTTAATGTTCAATGTCTATGCTTGTAGTTAACTGATTATGTTCGTTCCGGTGTTTAATTTAAGGCCTTTGTATTCTACTTTTCGTCTGCGTTGAAATATAGGTACCACATTTTTGTAGCCAACACTTTTCAGTGCATTTTCAAGGACACAAAAAATTTATCAACTGTCATCTGCATAGATGTGGTGAAGTCATTGAACATATTGTCCTTTTTCAGAAGAGTATAGCCATCTTCAAGTGTCCTTTCTTTTAACCAATTTTCAAMATTCTTGAAAGACAATAAAAAGCTTTTAAAGCAAAAGAAAAAAAGTGAAGGGCGAATTTGATGGCTGAAGTATACGGGCGACTATTTTTTTCTTTTGAAATATAAACAATTAATCCACAGGGGTAACAATCAATAAAGACACACAGACACCTGGTGGTACTACTGGCTTCAGCCTCAARCCTGCTACATTACAGAGACACTAGTTAACTGCTGAGTTTCGAAGTGCCTTTTTAGGAATGCTACGACGAATTGTTCAAGAAAACGAGCAAGGGAGTACTCACACCGATGTCCAGAGGGCCAGAATAAGGAAAGATGAACAAGCCGTTTCAGCTGTAATAGAGCTCGTAAATGGGTAAAGGTAAATCCTTTTTCATAGAGCCTCGAGCTTGTCTGCATTTCAACTGCAAAAGCAGCTTCTAAAGATGTCTGCCACGATCTCAACAGAGCCTACAAGTTTGGCAATGAGTGCTACAAAACATTCAAAGAAGAAAGGGTGGAAAGTGTCCCTCCAGTRAAGAAATTTCATTGACCCCATGGAAAAATCTAAATTAAAGACCTTCAGTAGTATTAAAAAGAAAATGAAAGTTAAGACCACAGGACGATAATTTTGAAAGCTGATAGATCGCTCTTTGGCCGGATTATTGTGATGCAAACCCAGATGGCTTTTCAAGGAAAACTAACAAAGSTGCACTTGCAAATTTGTTGCAAAAGAATGTACAGGTGGATGAGCAGATACAAGAAAACTCTGGCGTAGTTATTGATGGTATGGCTTTGGTACAAAAGCTTAAGGCAGACCAGCTCCAGCAGTCTCCTGGCAATGGCGTTGAGAGAAGGAGTGCGAGTTTTGCCATTTTAAATTCCTACTAAAAACGAATTTTGCAATTTATATACTGAGATTATATAATTTACAATAGATTTTCTGAAAGTTTATTCGTAAAGGCCTATATAATTATATTTTTTTGTAATAACACTACCTATGAAGCTAAAAAGGACCTATTCTTATGGTCAAGATGTACATTGAAGTCAAGATGTACATTGAAGTTCTGTTTAATGAACTTGTGCAACTTGTGCCGTGCTAAAAAATGTTGTAAGTTGCACGAGCGTTTTTTTACGTGTGACACCCCCTTGTGCAACTTGAACATTTCATTTTTTGTTGAGAGAAAAGTAGAACTGGCTTGCTTGAGCTAAGTTGGAGCGGAATTTGGTAGTGTGACATGGCATCACTACAAGCGGGGTTTCTTCTTCTGCAGCCCGATCTCGATGTGCGATGCACTCTTCTTTGCGGCTTTCTTTCAGCCGTGGAAGTATTCCTCCTGCTATTTCTGCCAAGGAAGAATCCAAAAGGGCTTGTGCTTTCTCGTACAGTCTGCAGTACTGAATGCTTCTGAAGTGAACGCATYCATAGGCTGGCTGTCCACTCAAACGTTCAACTCTAGTCGCCTCTCGACAACTGTCTAACTCACATATTGTGTAAACAGGTTGGGGTATGTCGTTGGTGGCATGTTGCCAGTGAATAGGCTGTCCAGTACCACTAAACGATCTGCTTACMATAAAGATACCCAATTTAATATCTACACATACCCCATTTAGATCTTTTCTGACATGGATTGCACCATGAACTTTTCTTTTGTGYTGTTCTCTTACGTGACGTTGGAGAGCAGGTCTGTTCGAGAATTATCGTGTGATGCCTCTTGTGTTTTTTAAACATAGAAGATTTCCTATCCCCCTGTTTGGAGGTGTCCTGGTAGGTCTTTATGGACGGAGGTTTGTTTGTCTAGTGAATATCGAGGAACAGTCGCAACAATGCCAGTGACTCCTGTTCTTGCCAGTACAATCCAAGTTACATCGAAGAATAGTCTTATCTGTAAATATATAGAGGTTTCATGTACAATTGACGAAGTATATCCGGAAAAGTATGCTATATCTAATTCGTGGATTTCCTGTGGCAACACATCATTGCTCGGGAAACCCAAATTAAATCACCGAAGGTGTCAAAAAGCAACAATAACAATCCTTATAAAGTAAACACAACTGCACCTCAACGTCGGAAATCAACGATATCTCGAGAAATCAATTAATACAAAGAATAACTTCAATTTTACTATACCCCCAGTTCAGGTCAACAATAGGAATCCTAATTACTCCTTGGTCATAGCACTCTTGGGTGTCCAGTTTTCCCTAAAAGTTGGAGGTGTAAATCGATTTCATTTGYAAAAGCACATAACTACCCAACTAATTTAGCTAGTTAATGTCAAATGATTTAATTCTCCAGCAAATCCTTACAACTGGTCAAATAACAAACAGTTTAACAGGGTCACGGAAGAACGCGAGTCTCTTTCAAATTCTGTTATGGTCTCTAATTACACTTTTTTTATATATTGTGAACAACAAGCTTGAAGCTAGCTTATTAAGTGTGCTACAGTKAGTTAAAAAAGAAAATTTTATTCAACACCGAACACTTACCCTTATGAATAAMTTGGTCATTCCAATGACGTATTTGAAAGTGAGTCTTCAGTTGACTTGCCTTTGTTCCCTTTTTTGAGGCGGTGGAACAAAGATGGCAATGAAAAAGACTGCCTCTGCAAGAACATGAAGAATTGCCACATTTCCAAAACGATAATGGAAAGGAGGCGTTGTCRGCCAATACAGAAATATGAGGGYCACGTGCTAGACAACTCTATGGGTTAAMCGTGTCACCCTCCTTAAATAAAGTTTATTGTATTGTATTGTATGGATATCTTCCATTTGAAATAAACTTGTAATGACCCTGGCAGATAGAACTARCTTTCACGATATAGTAGTTCACAATTATTGTGTTCCGACGCCGAAACAAACGAAGGAATAAGTAAAAAGACAAATGATCACCACTATGAAACGAAAACTYATTAGAATTACATTAAAATGGATTTAATGGACATTATTTTTGCATTTTCAAAAGTAATGTCTTTTGAAAAAAAAGAAAAATCTCTCATGTACATGGATTGACGTGAAAAAAGCCTTGGACTCCATCAATCACGAATGGCTTGCTCTTATACTGCAAATGCATAACATACATGTAGACRCAAAATTCGCTGTAATACTCGATTTAAACAATTTAATCACATCTTGAAATTAAGTACATCGATAGGTAAAAAAGCTGTAATGAATAAGTAAAAATCGGTTCACAACTGTGAATAAAACAAAAGCTAATRTTAGACTAATATATAATGTGTAATTAAAGGGAAAAAACGAGAGGAAAACTTACATTATATCCCTTCTGCGGCTACACATGGATACACAAACTAAATGTCTCACTGAAATTTCCGGTTTTCATGACCCAGAATGCTTTGCGCGAAATTCAAAATGGCGGAAAAATCGGTGCCTTTTGTGGGGAAAACAGAAATTGGCAAAGAAAAAGTAAAAAAAAAAATAACTGAAAAAGATATCAATGTCCAATTCCTTCTTTCTATTGGTCAAAAAACAACAGGGACCAATGAAGAAATCAAAGAACGAGCCGATCTTTTTAGAAATCAGCCAAAACTTACAGAATTTCTAGAGAAAGAGGTCAAAGCCAGAAAACAAACTTCGAACATCTTTGGAAGAGAACTTGATGGAAGCAAGATCCCTTTGCCACAGGAACCTTGGAAAATTGGACCTTTCCCCACTTTTACTGCAAAACAGTTAGATCAATATGCACAATCAAAGCTACCAGGTCGAAAGTCCATGTTAGAAAAGGGTGAACGATTTTTTAACAGTCGGAAAGTAAGTGAAATATATGCATTCAAATCACGCTATCTCTAAATATATATCAAGCTTATTCAACTTATCATTACTTTTAGATTGTCACTATGCGAGTTTTGAGAAAGAATGATGAAACATGGGTCAGGGCTTGGGTTAAACAATCTTATGGTGAAGTGCAAAGACCTGCCTTTGTTAAATTTAACAAGATAGGATGTGCTGTGGGTGGATCTTGCACATGTACTGTTGGAGTCTCTGGATTATGTGCCCATGTGATCTCTGTGCTTTATCAACTTATTCACCATACACAAACAGGT